AAAATCCAAGGCCCAATGTTATCGGACCAAAATATTTTTCTACATTTTTGAATGAAAAATGTAGTGGCGACTCTAAGAAAGTCGTGCGGCCGAAAATCGGGGCACGGTAGCTGGCGACTCTGTTGGAGACATTTTTTAAGAGAGTGAGGCCGATAATCACTAATTGTATGGCTAATTATACTTTTTAATTGTATGGTTATTTATTTTTATTTTTTACAAACAAATTCATAATAATTGTTATTATTGTTATTAAATAATTGCATATTTTATTGTTATAGCTTTTTGGTAATGTTTCAAATTAAATTCATATGCTTCTCAACAAATAGATTTCACTAGCATAGTGCGCATATCTATGTCCTATACCTGAACATTAGATTAGAATGGACATCTGCTTTGTCGGTGTGGACTATGGGTCTCACTTGTATTAGCTTGATAAACCACTCATATTGTCACAATATACCATGGGCCTTACCGATGTGGATTACGAGTTCCACTTGTGATCCCTAGTATATTTGAGTTTCATTTCTTTATGATTGGATGCAATCTGAGCACCTGGAGTCTATAACTTTTAAGGAGTCTTCTACACCCAAGAACTTCCAAGAAACCATTGTAAGGTGTACCTAATCTAAACCTAGGAAGCATATTGTATGCAATAAGTTGGGACTCATCCCTTATGACCCAAGTGTCACCTCAAGCCCAAACGTTGTAGGATATCATTGCACATATGTATCCTTACACCATAGGCACATAATCTACATGCCAAAATAAAGTACCCATAATAGGACCCATCATCGTAAAGGGTCGTCAATAAAAAACATGGGTAACTCATTTATACCCAATGTTAGCCTGAACTATATGACAAATGTCAATTCATTGTGACACTTCATCTATGGTGATGATGGCTAAGCCGCCCCAAGAAAGGGTTTGTTACCCTAAGGGGCATGCATTTTGCATTTTTAGACATTCATTTCATGCATACATTCATAAAAAAATATCATAAAAAAGTTCATCCACACATTACATTTATGCATGCATTAACTCAAAAACAAAAAATACATATTCAAACATTCATTCATTCATTACATTCAAAAATAAAAAACTTCATTGATTGACTTATGCATTCATTTACTCATTTATTTAATTATTCATTCATTTATGCATTCAACAATACAATCTTCATTGATTGCATTGAAAAATAAAAATCTTCATTGATTGCATTCAAAAAAATCTTTATTGATTGATTTAAGCATTCATTCATTCAATTATCCATTCATTTATGCATTCAAGAATACAATTTTCATTGATTGACTTATGCATTCATTCATTGTATTCAAAAATAAAAATCTACATTTATTGGCTTATCCTTCCATTCAAGCATTATTCAAAAATAAAAAGTTATATTGATTGGTTCATGCATTCATTCACTCATTCATTCAATTACACATTCATTTATATATTCAAGAATAAATTATAATATTTAACGCAATTCATTTATTGAATGTACAATACACATTACAAATAATATGAAAGCGATTTGACAGACACGAAGTGTCCCGTCAACTGATACAAAGAGTGCACAAATTATAGCTCAACTTTGATAATAGATATGATATAAAAATAGTTATTTCAAATGTCAATTGGATGCTAGTCAAAAGTATCTTAGTAACTTAAGCAAATTCTACAACTTAACTAAATGAAAATGGAGGGAGGGAGTGTACAATATGAGTAGTTGAAACAGTAAACGGCTTCAAAGTAAAATGGAAGAAATAAAATCAAACAATAATAAAAGATGGAGGACCAAAATACAATTAAAACTAGTTTTTGCCATACCCCCTTCAAAATTTGTGCAAATATATATATATATATATATATATATATATATATATATATATATATATATGATATTCTCCATCAATCAATATACAAGTACTAAAAAACAAAGAAAATATAATATAATAAGACATTTAATCTTTTTTATATGATAGAATAATACTTTTGATATTAAAAATATAAATAAAATTAAATATTTATCTATTCATTAATGGAGAATATTCTTATTCATATAAATCTGCACCTTATTTATGGGCATCAGTTGGGGAGAGACCACAATAGGAACTTGTCACAGGTCCCAGGCATGCATGTCTACCGTTGTTCTACCACATCAAATAAATTTTGGTGGAACTTGGTGGGGCCACAATTATATCAAATCAACCATGTTAAGCAACTATTCAACTTATAAAATAATGCATTCTATAAAAGGGAACAATACTTATGATTCTATAGCTTTACACGATATTTTCATTTGATCGTTTTAAACTATATACTTAAAATTCATTTATATTTTATAAATAGAAAAACATGTATACATTTACGGCGTAACAATTTTCTATAATATCACTTCATCATTTATTATTTATTTTCAATTATATTTGACTATTCAAAAAATAAATATATAAATATTACACTCTTTTATAAATAAATACATACACGAAAAGTTAGCTTAACCGGATATAGTTAAACCTTAGTCCAATGTACCTGGAACAAAAGAAATCAATGTTTAGAGAGTTAAAATGTGTACATCTAGATGTGAATACTTATAACTTCTAGAATGTTGTGTGTTCAATAGAATTCCTCAATGCTTAAGTCTCTTCCTTTATAGAGAATGTTCCCTTGATCTTTATTATCACATTTCTGATTATTAGTAAAGAAAATGATATATTCTTTTACTAAATTCTCATATTAATCTTCATACTTACAATAAAGTGACATATGTCACTTATAAATCAATCACAAATAAATAAAGTATCACTTTGTGACATATGACAGTTTTTTCGTGAGTAGAAGAATTAGTAGGAGGATTTAGTATGAATATATAACATTACCCTATTTATAATGGGGTTTGCTAACATGGGAACCACAATTTTTAGTTAGGAGCATGTTAACATTGTGTACCATAAAGAATTGGACAAAAATAACATTTTTACTTTGTAGAGATAACACATTAGATAAGGACATTTTAGTAATTTTAATCTTAAAATAAAAAACAATAATTTATCTCTCCCCTCACCTCACCCAAACTTTTATCTCTCCTCTTACCCCACCCAAACTTCATCTTCTTCCCTCATTTTGAAAAAAACAAAACCCACAAGGTTACAACCCTCCACATTCTCCTCCATATTTTTCCATGTATCCCTCCTCTAACAAATAAAACTCACAACCCAAAACTCCGATTTTCTTTTTAATTTTTAGAACCAAGGAAAGTATTTGATTTTAAAGAAAATTGTGTAGCCTTATAATTTCTTTTGATCATGTTACGGGAAAAATGAAACAATGTGGGTGAAAAATGTTGATTTAATAAATGGTGATACTTGTTACATGGAAGAATATGGAGAAGAATGTGGAGGGTTGTGGCCTTGTGGGTTTTGTTTTTGAAAATGAGGGAAGATGATGAAGTTTGGGTGGAGTGAAAGGAGAGATAAATTATTGATTTTAAATTTAAGATTGATATTACTAAAATGTCCTTATATATGTAGTTGTCTCTACAAAATAAAAAGATTATTTTTGTCCAATTTTTTATGGTAAACAATGCTACCAAGTTCCTAACTAAAAAAGGTAACCCCATTTATAATATCTTATTTTTTGGGCATATATTGCATAATATATATCTATTAATCATAATTTATCTTGAGATTATCTCATACATTTATCTATAGTATAAGATAAAATTATTCTGCAACATGATCTTTGGATTATGATTAATTATTAATTATATCTGACATTTATTTCCATAAATTTGTGTTAATTAGAGATTTTGGTATAATAAAAGTTGTCCTACAATTGACACTTAGAGGCACTAATCCCTTTAAAAAGTAGAGATCATATAAATTGGTAAAATGATGCATTATACTATTCGTTTTATTAAATATAAATATCAACAAAACAGTATTATTACTCCGTGCGGTAGTATATATAATTACTCTAATAATGAAAGCAATTTCTGCGTAAATTATGTACATTTCATGTGAGCTTCCTTTTAAGGATTCAAACCAAAAGACTGATTCTTTATTTTATTTTTTAACTAACTCCACTTTCATGGATCCATTCCTTTGAATGTGGAAAAAAGTAGTGACCTATAATTGATAATGTTGAATCCAAACTATGCATATAAAAATGCTTCCAAATTAAGTTTGCTTCAATAGAAAGTTGATGACACAAACCACAGATTCAATAAAAGCACTATATATGCATTATGCAAATCATACCAACCACATATAGTTACTTTCCTAAAGTTATTTGAATTTCAAATGTGGTTGGTAAATGCAGAGACTAAATTATATATCCTGTGATGTCTCATAAATATATAACCTATCTTCTCTCACTGACCTTACTCTTCTAGCTACTATGCTTTTTGTGATTATGATAATTCAAAACATGCCTTTCTCTATTTGTTTCCAATCTCTCATAATTTAAGGAATATGATTCTCTTTCCCTTAAATTTTATGTCTCTCTATCTCATATCAACCAATGTTTGCTAACAAACAAAAAATAACATTTCATTTTACAAAATTAATAAATTAAATCGATATGTCTAGATATAAGTGGGCGAAATAGGATTGAAGATACCAAGTTGAGACAGTTGATCTCGATCCATAATTTAATGTACCCACTTTCAATTCGTTGTTGGGTTGTTGGCAAATTAAATGCCAACATAATTAAGGCTCTGTCCCTATGTCTATGTCAATGTCCCTCCACTCTCTCATACATTAAATTTTAAGAATCTCACAGGACAACATAGTTAACTCCATGAAACATATGTATATACATACATGCCACCTTCTTCACCATTTTTTGTTTCCTCATAGTCCTCTAGTCCATTTTCTTGGTTCTTCTTCAATTTCTGAGTATTTTATGGGGTGGTAAGTTTTTCTTGTTATCACATTGATATATTGCATTAACGAGTTATTGTTGATCTAGTGCAGGAACATGGTCATGGCTCTATATTAACGGCATGAGATATTGGTACGGTTCAATCAGAAGGTAGTGTTTTATATATGATTCTAAAACTCTCTTATTTGATTGAGCCGTGCCAATATCACATGTAATTGTTCTGCTCTTTAGCAATATGCAACATATTAAAGATTGCTTAAGACAGCTAAGTGTTTTTTTATTTTTTATGTTTTATTTTATTTCATAACTTGTGATTTTAAATTGTGATTATGTTCAATAACAGTGACAACAACTATAGTTGCGGACTACAATTTAAAACTCGGGTTACACTTAATACATAATTGTAATTGAGGCTCTTCTTCTGCATATGCATATGTATCAGGATCTTCTTCCAGATATATAGCTATTTGGTGCAATAAGTGATGATCCTTTGAACATAAGGTGTATTTTACTTTGAGAGGGCAATATCATGAAACTTTTCTGTGTCCAAAAGTTGATGATCAATTTGCAGTGAGATAGGAATTGAAATGAATTTGGTGAGGTGGTTAGAAAAAATGTTATGAATTTCCTTCCTTTTTTCTTGTAATTTGTGGAAGGTAGGGACTTAACTAAAGTTGCATGCTCAATCCATCTTTATGTTTAGTTTGCTTCTATTTAATACTCAATCTCTTTTTTTGACAATGTAGTATTATATATAGTAGGACAAGATTGTGTGAAACTCCTCTTCATTATAAGAAATAACAGTTATGGGAAAAACATTGAAAAATTAAATTATTAACACTTATATACTTTAATTTACACTAGAGTTACACTTTTAACGTTAAAAATACATTATAAAATAGAACTACATCCTCCAATAATGGAGAGAAACAACATCCAATAATGTTATTAAAGCACTTTCTAGATATATGGAATCTTTCATGTAATGGATGATATGATCTGTTAGTGATTAGCTATAAATTATGACATGTTGACATAAATGAATATTTAACAATTATGTGTTTTTAATGCATTAATTTTTCTAATACTACTGATGATGATTTAGACTCATTTCCAAAACTCTAAAAATTTGGTCAAACTCTCCATAAAATTAAAATAAAAAATTATTTTTATTCTACTAAGTTCAAAGGTCTTTCATATTTGAAATTAAAAAAATAAAAACTTCTGGTGATTTAGCCATATAGGAGACGAGGGATTTTTCACACCCCTGAATAATTAAATGCACCCCATCCTATTTTTTCCACCTAAAGTATCCCTTTTGAAAGGATATAACAAATATTTTTATCACATAAAAAGTATAAATATCAACACATATTGAAACGATCTTTACTTAGGGGAAATTATCTTAAGTTCATTTTAAGTGATGCAAATATTGTTAAGAGAAAGCCAACACACTCAACTTTATATTTTTGTTAGGAAATCATGATTTACTTTTTCTTCCTAATTAGCCCTTAAATTTTAATTATTTGTGAAATTGGTGTTTGCGTCAATATAATGTTAAATTAATAATAATAAAAAAATTGTGATACATTTTATCTTAAATTTGAGTGTTAGATTCATATTATTCAATATTATTTTGTATATGTATACTAGTATTATTGTATTAATTATTTTTAACTCTTAAATTTACTTATCATATGCTTCTTAATTATTTTATATTTTGACGATGGTTTCATCTGGATATCAATGTTGGTTAACATATATTGTTGCATTGATATTATTGTTAGTTTGATTGCAGCAATTTCCTTGTTGGGCTCTAATAATTTAATAATATATTTACATAGGAACCAATTTCACCAATTAATAAAATTTAAGGGGTAATTAAAAAGAAAAATTAGTTCATAATAACTAATTACAAAAGAGATAAAAGGTAAGGTTTGATCTATTTTTTCCTTTATAATTGGAGAACACACATTTATTTTATATTGAGTATTAGGTGAGTAATTTAAAAAATTTAAATTAAAACTTTCTACTTGATTTAGTTACCCATTTTCAACTAATTTAATTATAGCCAAATAATATTCAAGGGCACATATTTGAGCCAATCATAATTGTCTCTATTATTAGAGAGAAATTATATTTTTATTTTATTTTTAGTAGCAAAATATGAATCCATTATATATAAAAAGTATAAATATATCATATTATTTTTTCAATTATTTGTCTGTAAATTGTTAGAGAGAATCTCTGGTCTATTTGAGCAGACCCTCTTTTCAGTTTGTGATATACTATTGAAAGTGTCACCTTTTCTTTTTCCTTTTGTTTTTGGGGTACTGTATATAATATATAACAACTAAGTCATGATACTACAACATTGAATATATAACCCTTCTTTATTTCCATCTTTCTCAACGCCCTCAGTTTCATTCAGTTAGTCATTTTCTGATTACTTCATCATTCAGAAGCGAAAAACAATGAAGTGTGTTTTTATATGATTAAAAAATAAAAAGTGATGAAGTATTTACATTAAAGAGAAAATGACATTGCCTAAGATAGCTCTACTATAATAAGATCATCTTTATTAATAAAGAGACAAACAATTATTTTTTCTTAGGTTTTTAATGACAAAACTGTAGCCGTGAAAAAATTATTCACAATTCACAATCAATCCAAACTCATCCAAATTATTTATTCATCAAAATTCATTTGTTAAGCTAATGTTGATAATGGATGAATTTGAATTTATTTATTATATTAAATGGATATCCACCTATATATTCATTTGGATGAATACACAATCCATCTAAAAAAATAACGTTTTATTTTTATTTTTAATTTCATTTAACAAAATTAAATTCAAGCAAATTCATCCACGATTTTCATTCTCACTTTTAATATTTTATTAAATTGATATCATTCATATGACATGGGTACGTAGTTAATATTAAAAGTTTATTATTAACTACATAACATATATAAGTATGAGAAAATGTATATAATGACAATGCATGAGTTTTACACATTATCATTACATCATTCATCATTTATATTTAATTATCATTGACTCTTTAAAAGAATTAATTCAGATGAATGGTAGATGGTGTACTGATTATGTATAAATCTTTACACTGATAGTACATAGATATTACACTCTATAAGTATTTGTTAAAAACTTTACAAGTACAACCTTAAATGTTGCATGCTTATAGAATATTGCAATTTTTGTAAAAGTTCAGAAAATCACTTTTTTTAAAGTGTTTTTTAAATGATTTTAAATTTTTTTTTAAAAGGTGATTTTAAAAAAATGTTTTGTTGAGATAATATTTTTAAAACAATGATTTTCTACAATAGTATTTTTAGTTCCAATAAAAAAATCAAATGGATTGGATATTCATCCATGAAAACTGAGTCATAGATAAATTGGATGAATTGGAATTCATCAATTAAGTTTGGATATAAATGGATTGAATAACTTAAACTATAGTTTAAATTGATTTATATGGATCGATGATTTCATCCATTAGCATTTACCACCCCTACAAAAATATAACTTATAATAAATAAAACGATAAAAGTATCATAATATATACAAAACTATGTCACATGAATAATTAGGTTTTGTGCCCGTACTTTTTGTGACTTTTTTCTATGTATTGCTTCCCTTTTCACACTTCAAACCTATTATTGGATATCAAATGATATTTGATTTTATTTTCTCATGTATTTACAAAATCAAAGGATAATGAATGATTTATTTTGAATCCATCATTATTTTAATTTGATTTAAATATGAAAATAAAATAAAATTATGGATTTTAAAATGTAATATTGTTAATAATTATCATGTACATAATCTTTAAAACACCAACTGTCTTTCCTAATTTTTTTATTTTCTCTTATACCTCAAACCCATCATAGTGTTAGAATCTAAAGTACATTAATATCAACTAAATTCTAATTTATGTTCATTAATTGAAGTTTAAATTATCCTATTTATTTTATGCACTGACCTATACATTTTAACCTTAAAATGTAACTTGCACTTTAGAGAAGTGATACCCAAATTGGTAATGAGATGCCAACTACCAAGGAGCAAAAATGTCTATGTGAGAAGGACCGCAAAACATTTTAGTCTTCAAACTCTAAATCATTTTAAATGAGGATCATCTGTCCCAAAATAATAATGTCATATATATCAAACCAATCAATTTCCTCTAAGTAATATAAAAATGTTATTTTGTATTTTTTTATAATTTTTCTTTGTAATGAAGTGACGTTATCAGTTGGACCGAAACAGAATTTTGGAATTTGGAACGGAGATGAGACAAGTGATCCCTATTATGAAAAAGGTGGCAGATTCATCATTTAAAATATATGAAAAACTATTGAGACTTTGTTTTGATCGTTGAATCCATGGCATTGAATCAAAGGCTTGAGATAGGATCTTTAAACAGTTGTTTAACAAGTAAACAACCAATGATAGATCAAACAGAAGCTAAAATAAAAGAAAAAACTTGAAGACTAATAATAACTAATAAGGAATGTTATAAAAACCCTATCGTACCGGCCGGTTCAACTGGAAAACCGGTGAACCGGACCCTTAACCGGTATGGTACGTATGTTATACCGCATATGCAATAGAACCGGTGAAAATCGGTGAACTGGTTTAAACTGGCCAGTTTGTACATTATTATTATTTTTAATTTCAAATTTTCAATTCTTCAACTTCAATGATTGATATTTGTGTCATTTATTTGTATTTTGTGTTTATTAAGTGATAATTTTGGATTAATATATGTTTTGCACTTTAGACTTTGATTTTGTTAAAGACTTAATGTTGTTTGTTTGTGTGAATTTGGAGTAGATTATGAATATGGATTATAAATCTGAATACCTACTTATTTGAAATTTTTTGTTATAGATTTATATATATATATAAGCAAGTATGTACGGTTTAACTGGCATACAGTTTAATTACTGAACCACTGGTTGAACCATCGTACCACTACCCTGACAGGTTTGATAACCGGTACGTTTTAATAACATTGATAACTCTTCCATTTATAGGTTGCACTCTTCCATTTATTCAACTTCATACTTCATTAAACTCAACATTACATACCATTCGCCCAAAACATACTCAAATCTACTACAAACTCAGAGAATACTTTTCTTATATTTCCAAAAGAAAGATTCTCATTAACATAGAAACAATTA